ATATATATATATATATATATATAACCTCGAAGCTGTCCTCGAATGAGAAACAGGAGGAAATCATGCGATCACATTAAAAGAGCAATCTTTGTCGTTCCGAATGGAAATCAGGTCTGGTTAGCATAATAAGTTTGTTGAGACAAGCATCACTCTTCTAGCATCACTCTTCAAGGGGAGAAGAAAAAGCCTCAAGCCTACTTCGTGGTTACCTAGCTCTCACAAAATCGAAGTCAGAGTGCGCCCTAACACAAACAAATGTTCTACCAGAATGCCGGCAGAATCGTCTTTGATGAGCCTTGTGACAAGTGACATGTCTGGTTATATGGTTGTACATGTATCTGCCGGTAAATCTGACCGGCCATCAGTTTGAAGTATCTGACTTTGAAATATGGTCATAGTGGACACTCTGTCTAGGCTTGGGCAACCTGGCAGTATCCAAGCCCTCGTGCTTCCTCTGGATGACATGGCAGTTAGGCACCGAAAGGGTGCTACAGCTGAACGACTTTTCATAGTGGACAACTTCAACAACGCCCATCTCAATAAATCTGCAATCAAGGCTACAAGGCTCGGGTGGAGAGATCTTCCACTGATGAAACGACACCTCTTCACCCCAGCCTGAAGTTCGGAGCTCACTTGCTGAATTACTTTCTAAGCTCAGGGCCAAAACGGTTTTTCAATGAAGTACACGGGCTGTGAACTTTATCATTCCTTTCGATGAACGGAATATTTGTGCAGTCCCATTTCAGGACAAATGATAGTACAGCCCATTATCGACAGGATTGGTCTGAAATCACCGAACATATGAAAAATACGACAAACCCTCTATTCTCTGGAAAAGACAACCGATTCTGACTCTGTTAAACTCACCTGATTGTTCACTAAAATCATATATTCTACCGTTAGGTAATCAGCAATAACTCTAGCAGGATGACCACTTTGGAGATGCAGTAGGCCCAAAGTGCTCAACGTCATTGGCTCGGATGCTAGTATCGCGTCACGACAGAAGTCGAACTTCAATCAATCAATCAATCAATCAATCAATCAATCAATCAATGCGTTAGCCAAAATGGTCGAGAGGGACATGGAAAACCGCATAATAATAACCAATCAACCGTGGCACCTTTTTTAAGCAAAATTGCCGTGCAACTAGAGACAAGCACGACGGCTCAAATATTACTAGGCTGCCGAAGCCCATACAGGAGTAGGGTTGGGTTCAAACCACGGGACCTTCAGGTCATTAGTCTAAAAGCTCAACCGCTAAGCTACCTCGAACTCCACTGTATACGGATAGCTGCAGTAAGCATCCACATACCGTAGTTGATAGTGATAGGCTTACGTTTGAATAAATAAAGTATGTCCGTTTATGAGAAGAAGACGCGGGCCACAAAACCAACAAACAACGCCCGCTTCCGGCTTCATTTTCTCTTTTATGTATCAGAAACTAGTCGGAAAGTGAATTTTCAAGTTAGGAAACTACACAATCACCCTTTCCTCATACAAATTCCCAAAAACACAGCTAACGCAGATGGAGCGTGAAAGGAAGCAAATTTCCCAGATAAATCAAACTTCCATTGGGTAAAACCGTAACCATGAGAAAACCGACCTGCTGTTCGCTGGAGGTGAATATTACAGCTTTAGCAAAATGAATACCAAAACCGGACAGGAGGTACTAGGGTGAAACAAGTGGGAAAATAAATCGAAATCCGGAAAAGGGCGCTTCATACAAAATTAATCATGCGACGAGCAGATGGAATGTGTTGGCAGTCTGAACAATAAAGCTTTCAGGCAGTGCCCTGCACACCACAAGTTAAGAGAACAAGCCTACAGGGGAGCTATTAGTTGGCTACTGCAAAGGAAATCGATGGGTTACGAATTGCCTCTTGGAGGAACAGAGTAGGTGATATCGCCAAAAATGAAATACAGTTCGTCGTTCAGAATGAATATGGCAAACAAATGTGTGGGAAAAAGTCTGTAAAGACGAATATTCATATCGCTTGCGTGACTAAGTGTGCTTAACTAAATCTGAAATGATGGGTAAAAAGCCCTGTGGAGCCAGGAGATGGATGGAAAATGCTGAATATATATGGATGAAATCTGAAGACGGAATGAAGGGACCTTCGCACTGAAGCACATATTATAAACGCAACATAAACACACCTGAATTCTGTTCTATTTCATATCCCCACAATACCCTGAACGTTCATCGTCTTTAGGCACCCAACCGATCAGGCAGAACACCCGAGTGAGAATTTTTATCCCCCGAATCAAAGCCATGCATTGACCAGCTAATATCCGTTTTTCGACTATACCGTATCGTTCAAATCATCACCATCATCAGTGCTAATATTATGATAATCACAGACAGTAAAACACCAGTAGCGGCAAATGCTGCATATCATATAAAACGAGGGAGGAAAGTGACTTCACTAGAGAGCGAAAAAGAAGAGGTGAGGAGGGGAGCCTGTTGCAAGAAGCCCTAATTCCCTAGGAAGAGAGCCGGGAGAGATTTTCCTACACCTCCCAAAACAACAGACAACATATCTGAGCAACGCCATGGAGCAAGACGCCATCAGCCGGATTAACCTCAGCTTAACCAACACAAGTCAAACAAGTAGAGACAGACAAGCGTTGTATAGATAATCAGGATAAGAAGTGACGGCAAGCTCGCTACTCACATCCGTCGAGTACTATGTCCTGTAGAGTTCCCAACCGCCTATAGAGAGAATCACGTGGACCCCAACACAGACACGCTAGGATCTCGCAGCGCTCAAATTCAGAGTAGCCGTCTTGATCTCTCGTTACAACGTCATGGCCTATTCTCCGCGAACTCTCTGCTAACAACGGTTTAGAGTGAAAAACAATTTCTTCGGCAGATGGACCTCAGCCCCATCCTAACCTGATAGGCCTTATCTGATATTCAAGCGAATCCAACTCGATACATGGTACTTGCTTACGGACAGCTTTATTGCGCTTACACTGCATGCACCTCACTTAATATACTACGGAGACGGCGGTGATCAAATATCGGAAGATTGGAGTGCTCAGACTGGGGTCAAGTTTTCATAGTCAGATAGTAGGGCTGGTCTCATGGTCGTCTTGTACGCACGGCCTTTCAACCTCGGTGATATTCGTTTCCATACCAAAGGTGACGCAAGTTCACAAATACTGTCTATGGTTTGGCAATGCGCTTACTGAATCCATCAGTCACAGTGCCACCGCGGCTTACGCAGATGGCAAGATAAATGAATCCATCAACAAACAAGAAATTCGTTCGGAGTTATCCAGGAGGAAAATGGGAATGGGAACACTTCAGGGTAGTTTGCGCAGACGCATTATTGTTAGGTTGATTTAAATAGGACCTTCTAAGCAATTACCCCAATCATCACAACCACTGATGGAAGACTACTGATTCGAGTAACAAAGTGCTACTCCCTCTATCAAATAGCGCCAAAGAACACCTGTTTGACACGATGGTGCCGCCCAACACAGTACAATTTTGAAAAGATATCAGTCGTCAATCATCATCATCATCATCATCATCGGAAGACTACCGAGTAACAAAGTGCTACTCCCTCTATCAAATAGCGCCAAAGAACACCTGTTTGACACGATGGTGCCGCCCAACACAGTACAGTACAAAAAACATATCAGTCGTCAATCATCATCATCATCATCATCATCAACGACAGCATGACATCAGTGCTCAACACCGATGCTTCACTGCCGCACAACCATGACTTATTTGAAAGCCTTATTGTAAAGAAAAGAATAAAGGTGGATGGGGGAGGGACTTAGTGCTAGCTTAACACAATCATTCCGAGGTGCCTACACCTCCAGACATTCACTCAGGCAACCTGGACATAAACTGACAACAAGAACGCCACTGACATCGGCTGGCAGCCATATCTTGTAGTGTCTCCAACCAGGCAC